TTCACATCTGTCCTGTGACCCAAGGGCGCTCGCGGCAATGTGGTCGAGTGTTTAACGTGTCAAGCCCTCATTCTGCACTGTCACAGCTCGAATCCCGCTGGGGGTGTCGATAAGACCAACGCGAGGTCGAAATTGCAGTTTACTGATGCCTGGATGAGAACAATTTTTGGGAATTCAAGGCTATGTGAAATTCAACTCTACTCACATCATTGTGGGAAAATTATTCTACCAGTCCTTCATCACCTTAAACGAAATTGAGTGAATACCTCTTATAAAAGCTTAATTACCCAAAGAAAAAAACATTACCGAAATTCCGTTAGTCCATGAGTAAGTCTGGTTTAATTGATGAGCTGTAATCCCGTTTGCATGAGAGTCAGATCACGACACCACCAGCCAATTAAATGTTCGGCTGGGATTGCAAATTTAAGGGCGTTTATCCTGTTTGATGAGTGTGATATGTATGTTGAACGAGAATAAATGTATTTAGAATCACCATACAGTTGGCAAGTTAAGTCGCCTTTTTTTGGACGACGGAGCAATAGCCTCTTTTTGCTTCAATCCTTCAATCTTTTGTAAGTAATTCTTATTTATATGAAGAAAATGCGGGTTTCGAAGAATCTCCTATGATACGGTTGTTGTGACGACTTTTATTTCGTATTGAAGTGCATTATGAAGAGCTTCTTATCTCACCAATTCAACCAGAGTTATGTATTAACGTAAGCTTAGTTATACTCTTTTTCTTGGTTCATTAAGCCTTGATGGCCCAGCGTTGATGCTGGGCTTTTTTCTAATTGCTCTGAGTTATGACCGGATTTGCATACAGACATTGACACACATTCACACAGACATACTCAAGTATAAGAAAATTAGTCAAACCTTTCTATATCCATCTATATTTAAACGTTTTTTCTCTTTATGAATATGCATATATCGAGTATGAAGACTATGTTGTTTGTCATTTAACGGACGAGAGGATGTATCGTGGGCTGCGTCAACCTGAACGTCGTATTATAGCCAAGCGGCTGCAGTACAACGAGAATCAACCGTCGTCTTCAGGTGAAATCGAACTTGGAATCTTTTCATCATTCGCTTTTATACCGAAAGGAAGTCTCCACAATAATGTCATTTCAGGACATTTATCGAAATCCACTTTTTCCTCCTTTTCTTCTGCCAGCTGGTGATAAGTCCCCAGACTACAGCTCGTCCTGTAACGCGGGCCGGCGGATCTCGGCCTCCTCTTCACCAGGAAATCGACGCGATGACACGGAATCGTGGTCTGGCCAGTAAAAGCCAAATACGCGGTGAAAGTACACAGGAGGATCTTTCAAGTGAAGCGACGGTCCAAGGTCATGGTGCATCGTTCGGTGGAGACAGTCGGTTGCTAGGCCGTCAAGAATTGAGGAGCTCCGGCACTAGCCAGTGGGGCACTAGCTCCCGAGGTAATCGACCAGGTATCCTTATTTAATTATAATGCTACATTGACTTATGTCTGACCCTTTTATCAAGCCATTTTCTCGTCCAAGCTAAAATGTAATTAGACATATTTCCACACAAGCTCTCATGATGTGATAAAAGTGTGATACTTTAATAAGCTCACAATTATATGAGTAGCCTCAGAATTACAGTCAATTTCACTTTATTCTGCCGTTCTAAAGGTTTTCTCATCCCGGTTGGACTGGACTCTTGTTTTAATCTTGCATGGGTCTAATCCGCCCCCTCGACCGAAATGGAATATGGGTTGTGGTAATGTAGCGCACACTTTTGACATGTTACCAGTATGCCATGCTGCCAGGCGAGGTAGAAATTACAATCAGGTCAGGCTGGATAAGGCCAACTTTTGGGAGAAGGGCTAAATGAAATCCATTCATGTCATTTTGGGAAAAAGTAACATTCAACTCTTAATCACCTTACGCGATCTGGGATGAATATAGTTCGTATTCATAGCTGTTGGTTGTATCAGAAATCCAATTAGCATGCTATCATTCCGCCAAAATTGTTGTTTTTCTGGCAGAATGGAAAGCATGCGAAACTCTTAGAATGTTGAATTTTTGGTAAATCTAAAATATTTTCGTATATAAGTTGAGTTTTGAGGCTACTAGTAAATCAGCTATATGAGATGTATTCACCATATTTCGTTCAAGTTGATGAAGGACTGGTAGTAGAATTCTCCCACAATAATATGGGTAAAGATGACGTTTCCATTTTATTTCGCATAGTATTGCTTTCCCAAAGGTTGTTACCATCCAGGGTGGACTGCAGGTACAACCTCGCTGCACCGTCACGGTTCGACTCCCTCAAAGAGTGTTGATAAGACCGATGCGAGGTCGAAATTGCATTCCACTCCAGCCGGGATGCGAACAACTTTTGGGAAAGCAAGATTATGTGAAATTCGCTGGAAACGTCAACTCCACTCATATCATTGTGGGAAAATTCTGCTACCAGTCCTTCATCACCTTAAATGAAATAAGATGAATACATCTCATATAGCTGATTTACTGGTAGTCTCGAAACTCTACTTATATACAAAAATTAAGTAATGTTGTCGATTCCTAAAGCAAAAATACGTTCGCTTCATCGACAATTCCACGAAAGAATGTGATATGGGAAAAGGCCTGGCCTTCCTTGAAATTCACATCTTCCCTATGACCCAACAGCACTAGTGACAATGTATCTGTGTGGGTAACGTGTCAATCTCACGGGATGCCTTGTATATAAAAAAGAACGTTTCATACAAGAATTTAGAGATTGAAACTGCAGTCCTCTTCAGGCTGAATGAGAATACCTGTTGGGAAAGCAAGTCTATGTGAAATTCAATGGAAATATTAGCTCTATTCATATCATTCTGGGAAAACTCAACTACCGGACCATCATCCCCATGCGCCATGCATCCAAATAGGCCGTTAGCAGCTCTCTAGAACTGAGGCCGCAGATGTTCGAGATCCGGGGCACACACTAATCACAGTCAGGCTGTGCCACACGACTGGTGTGACTACCAAGGCTAGACAGGCCTCTATTAATTCGCATCTTTCTTGGCGTAGCCATGTTCACAGCTCAAACCGTGCTGGGACGAAACCTGAAGTTGTCGTGAATAGCTCCAGATTTTAAAATGTACGTCAAGTTTGCCGCTAGTGCTAAGAGTAAGCACTCTTTCCATTGCATTGAGCGCCGAGTTACTATCACCCCAATCAGAAATTAGTAGAAATTGATACCATTAAAGCTGCTTCTAGCTGCCGGGCAAAAGCCCTCACCATCTATTGATAGTCAAACATATGACGTCAGGTAGAAACGTGAACATTATTCGTTTATAAGTAGGCTTTCGAGATTACCAGTGGAACATATATTTGAGGTGTATTCACCCTATTTCGTTGAGGTGATGAAGGACTAAGAGTTGAATTTTCTACATTCATACCAATCCTTCGCTAGTTTAAACGAAATAGGGGGAATACGCCGATATATATGATCAAATGTCTCGAAAACCTACTTCCCACCAAAGAATGTGATACAAGATAAGGCCTGCCCTTCCTTGAAATTAACACTTGCCTCATGACCAAAGGGCTTAGTGGTAAACGTGACAAGATTATGCGCTGCATTATCGTGGTTTGATTCCCGCTGGAGGTGCTGAAGAGACCTAGGCGAGGTCGAAACTGCAGTCCACTCTGGAGAAGAGTGCCTTTTGGAAAACAAAGCTGTGAAACTCAATGGGAACATAAAGTCTCCTCATATCATTGTGGAAAATTCAACTATCACCGCTGTATCACCTTAACAGAATATGGTGAATACGTCTTATATGTTAAAATCCATTTAGATTAACTAGACAATTGTATGAGATGTACTCACCCTAATTCGGTATAGGTGAAATTTTAGGAGATTCATCGAAAAATAGTACTCTTCAGAACTCCTCTAGAATTGGGCTTGAATAGCTTTTTCTATTGTTAGACTTTTAGCTCTTTTATCCCCTATGGACTTGCAACTGGGGGTCAAGTCGTCAATATGAGCCAGTTTCGAGTGGAGTTTTCTTAATAAATGGCAACTCTGCTGACAATTGAGCAAAGAGATTGCTCAATTAATCGTACCATGCTTCCAAATTTGTCGTCGTCATCTAGGCTGAATTACACGTTCAATGAGATTCGAACCCTGCATATGCCGGACAAGAAGCAGTTCACGTCAGCTGCTAAACAGTGTGTAACTAACGCTTAATCAGAAATGCATCGTAACTTCTTGTTAGGTATTTCAAATAGGATAGGTTGGTGTAACGGAATAATGGAATGTTTGCCATCCAACCACCATATTAACGTCGGCCAGAACTGCATATTCAGCTTAGACAAGAATGGGAAAATTCAATGCCTCGTGTTCGCTATTACTGAAATAAGGTAATGAGAAAATGGATCACACTGAGAGCATTTATTTGACCAGTTCATGGATGAATGTTTTCCGTGAAAAGTTTTGGCTCCACTCGAAAATATGGTAATAGACCTCGGATTTCCAGAGGTAACCCAATAAGCAAAGTGCTTACAAACTGAACGTCATTCCCAACGAGAACTTGATAGGCAGGCATGTTTCTAATTAGATGGCTAATTGCATACAATAATTGACAATGGTGATTGAAACACAGAGGTGTCTGTTGGTCATTTTTTCTACTAGTGTTACTTAAAGGCGATTTTTTTCTCATTTTGAGGATCAAATAAAAGATCTGCACCAATAGAGCTTTTCCAACATTTTGTTTTGTCCTTTTTTTTATTCTAGAAAGTATAGAATTATGGTTAAAATTCACTCTTTACTATACATTAGTGTACATGTATCTTGATTAGCCAACATTTTCAGAGACTGGAATCCATTTAAATATACTATTCAATTGTATAAGGTGTATTGTTTAAGTTGATGAACCATGGTTAGTTGAATTTTTATCATAATTATATGCATATACCTTACGTCTCCATTAAATTTCACACAGCCTTGTTTTCCAAGAGGCATTCTCATCCAGGCAGGCGTGGAATGCAGTTTCGACCTCGAATAGGTCGCATTAGCAGCCCAAGTGGGATTCGAACCATGATCGTGTAATTAATAATCTAAGCACATTAACGACTACTTCACGACCACAATTGCCCTTGGATCACAGGGCAGATGTGAATTTCATGGAAAGACAGGCATTTGCGCATATCACAAGTGCACAACAGAATTAGGATCTGGTTTCCTTTGAAATCCACATCTGCCCTGTGACTCAGAGAGTTGTAAGTCTCACGTTAACATTAGGCCAAGAACACTATCCGGCTCAATCTTACTTCTTATAGTGACTCAATTGAGCCAAAAGAAAATTAAAAACCTAGCTAGCTTAATGTAGAGTTGCTGGTTAAGTATCTTTCATAATGATTATGTTACTTTTGCTCGAGTGTATGCCTTTGTGTATGTGTGAATGTTTGCGTCTATATATACCGGTTCTAAAGGTTTAATCTCAGGTTCTGATCCTCGAAACAGAATGACACAAGAGAAAGCCTTCACCAAGACTGTGTAAGTCCATAAACAAGTATGGTTGAGAGAATGAGATATAAGCTTGTAAACATGTAAGTCAAGTTGGGAAACTACTTGTTCTAACTTTTCGGTCTAGGGTCATAAATCTTTAACCCCCAAGGAAAGACGAGTGTGAGTAAAGTTTGAACCATCACATAGTAGACAAATTTAGTCGCCTCCTTTTTGACGGCGGCTCAACACTTTCTCTCTCTTTCAATCTATCAATCAAGCATAAGTAGTTACTACTCAATGATTCTTAGAAGCATGAGGCTAGCGAATAGCAAACATTTAACTAAAGAGTTGCAACGGCTGACAAATATATTCATGGAAAATAATTATCATTTGGGCCTAATTGAGAATAATATCTCTCTACTGAGGAATACATTTTTAGACGGAGACCATTTAGTCAAAGATAGGCAGACTGAGACCTTTATCCATGTCTTAATTTTATCGTCATGCCTTATCTCAAAAAAGATAGGCGAATTATTAAAGAAGTGGGGCATAAAAACAGTGTACAAAGAAACCCTCACACTTTCTTGTATTATGCCATCTTTTAGAGAGAAATGACTCATTATCGAGATCCGGCTGCTACAAGATTGTTTGCTCGTGTGTTCGATGTTCTGTTGCTGAGACATGCCAACCTATTCGACAAAGATTGGTAGAACACAAAAATGCTTGCAAAGGTAGCTGGATTCAACGGTCAGAAGTGGCCGAACACATGGTAGATACTGGACATGAAATTAAATGCTCTCAAACTAATAGGTTTGCTGATAATGGTATGTCTAAGGTTAAAAGTAAGGTAAGAGAGGCTATTGAAATTAATAGCTTAGGAAAAAGGTTGAATGTGAGGAACGAAGGTAGAAAGTTGAGTAGGAATTACTTATGCTTGATTGGTAGATTGAAAGAGAAAGAGAGGGTGTTGTGCCGCCGTCGAAAATAAGGCGGCTCAATTTGTCTGCTCGGTCATGATTATAGTTTCACTCGCATTCATCCCAACCAGACATGTCAGATTACGCAACCCCAGTCTTACCTTTCCTTGGGGGTTAAACTTTAACGACCCTAGACTGAGAGGTTAAGACAAATGGTATGGTGGCTTGATTTTCATGCTAACAAGCTTATATTTCATCATCTCAACCATACGTGTTTACGGATTCGCGCAGTCTCGGTCAGGACTTTCTGTTGGGTCGTTAACCCTTGATGATCAGAGTATGGCATTAGCCTTTTGACAACTCTGATTTAGGGCCGGTATTGCGTATAGACGCTAATACACACACACATACATACATGCAGACACTCGAACAAAAGTAACAGGACCAATATGAAAGATAATTAACCAAACCACTCTATATCGGCTATCTAGCTTTTTTAATTTTCTTTGGGCTTAATTGAGTGTATATAAGAAGTAAGATGGAGCCGGATGGACTTCTTGGCCTAGTGTTAACGTGAGACTTTTTCACGAATGAATTCCAGCTCTGATGATGTCCATCGAATGATGGACGAAAGCTCAGCCCGTTTTAACCCGAAACGAGGGAGAAAGTCTCGTGGAATGCATTGACAGGAACATCGTATAAAAGCCAAACGGCTGCAGTACAACTAGATTCGTCCATCTTCATATGGTGAGATCGACCAACGAATCTCTTCTTCATTCACTTTCATACGAAATGAAAGTCCCCCTAATAATAGTGAATATTAGCAAGTTTTAATTCCATAAAATAAATTTTAAAGTTATTTCCTAACCTTTCTTATTGTCTAGACATTCTCCAATAGCTAAGTTAGTGGAGGTTTGTCCCTTCTTGAAGGAGACCTCGAACTCAGCTGAACTTTGACTGGCTCGCTCATCTTCGCCGCCTTTGATGGGTCCAATGCAGGCGAGTGGCCACCGATTCACGAAGCCTCATCATTTGAGCCCTTTTCTAATGTCTTGGGGCTAAATGCTGGAGTTCCCTTTTCTTTCATTACCGAGCTACAGAATGCAACAGCTTTAAACTGTATTTTCTAAAACTATTTTTCAACCAACAATCACTCGCCATGCTCAAGCAGACAAGCAAAAGTAAATGATGCTAGTTGAAATGCATCGTTTGTTGATTTGCTTTATCTCTCTTTTTTTAGCTAAACTAAACTGTGTACGGCCGACTTTATCTTGAAGCTGAAAATAAAACTAGCTATTCGATTTTTTAACTCATTCCGGCTCTTTTCCGACTTCTTGATGAGAGTAGATGAAGTTTGATAAGTTTTGCAGGCTTTCCTAAGACTCAGAACGGATTTAGCCGACATTGTCACTAGAACAAGGTGTACAGTAACAAATAAAGCCTTGGTGTGTTGGCCTATCTATCTACCTCTATATATATATTTATTTATTTATTTATATTTATATATTTCATTGTCGCGAAATAGAATAGTTAACTATGGAAAATTTAGTGTAAAACGAATAGATTTGCTCTGATCCTAGTTAGAATCTAACTTCCTGCAAATAGTTTAGTCCCTAAGAGATAAGGCATATTTATGGATTTGTCTTATTGGTTTAGAGGGATTTATGATGCAAGATTGTGTCCACTGTTTCCAAGTAGCAGTTCTCTCATGCAGAACTAGGAGATTGACAC